ATAGGTTTCTGAACACGTTAAAACATATGTTCTTCCTCGAATGGGACTGTGTAGGGTAATATTTCTGTAGTTTCCTGGCACTAAATTCTGCCAGCCTTCCTAAACCAGGTCTCCTATTTGCTTCAGCGAGCATCCTGAAAGCTAAGTGACTGTAGATTTAAGCAACCATCAAAAAATATTCTGGAACAACACTTTCCAACTATAAATACAAAGAGAAACAGGGTGGCTTTGACTACGTGGCAACAAAGTCAATAGAAGGATTTGAAATGATGATCACCAATATGACCATAAGCAAAATCAAATCAAATCTGGACTCTTAATTAGTCCTGCTGACTACTTCCAACGATCCAAAAAAGAGATAATTATCAAATTTCTACTTCAAATGGTATTCAAAATGTATCAAAGAAAGTTAAACTAGATTTTAGTCCCAGCAAGATCAGTAAACACCTTAAAAGTGTTTTTGCGGTTTTTTTAAAGTCAGGCCTAAGTAAGAGCTACAGCCAGAAAACACTGTGGAATAAGGGCAAGATCCCTGGATCAAGATTCACTCGAATGTATCTTACTCAGGATGAGGGGGTTTCTCGTTTCCCACCGTATCCCCAGTGTTCAATAAGTATGCTCAATAAATCTTTATGGAATGAAACCAGTCACAACTGCTGACTAGTCCCTGAGCTGCCTTTAAATGCCGTTTCTAACTCTGCCTCTTCCTAACTGTAGTATATTATTTAACCTGAGTATTCTTAGTTCCCAAAACTCTGAAATGGAAACACTGTACCTTCTTTGCTGGCTTATGAGGATCAAAGGTAATATTTCATGAGAAGTGACTTAATATTTTATAACAGGCACATGAATGTTAAGTGTCTGTTATCCAACCTGTGCCTTTGGCCAAACCATCGACAAAGGTGAAAATGCTGCCCTTCTTTGAAACAGAATTAGCTTCTCCTTTGTTATTCTGTTTAAATGTGGTAGTGTGGCTGTTCGCCAAAATGGATGTTGTTCTTGTTGTTATAACATTTTATTTAATCTCCACTGGGAAATTATGCTTCTCTTGAGAAAATAATGGTAAAACAAGGAAGGTCACTGCATGGTGGACCATAAGGAACATAACACTGAGGTCAAGAACCTTAGGGCCTCATCAGCTCTGACCTTAAAAAATTCTGAGGAAATGCACACACTACAATTTCTTCATCTAGACAATGATGAGGAAGGACAGACTAGATAGCATCTAAGGTCTCTCTTATCCTACAGTTCTATGATATTTCAGACACCAGATATTCAAATGCCCCCAAAGTCAGTTCTATTATTCATTAGCATATAATGAGAGTATTTTTTTTAAGGATGATGAAAACAGTTCCACAGGCTAAGTCATAATGGCTGAGGAAATAATGATGTTACAAGAAGGATGAATGATACCCTCTAAAGAACACCTGCCTCAGGCCCTGTAGGCCTGCCACTTTACATGAGTCACTTAATATTCCTAGGACTCAGTTTTCGGATCTTTAAAAGAGGAATACAAATACTGCATAGGACCACTGGGAGAAAATACCTAATAAATGATCAAAAAGTATTGCTATTTAAAGGTAAAATGCTATTTAAATACTCTAACGTCCAAAAAAAAAGGCTGGTAGATTTTAGGGAGAGACAATCAATATTTTTAAATAGACTTTTTCCATCACGATAAAATAAGATGATGCATGTAGATATTGTGATATTTCCAAGAGTCTACATTTTTTTCTACATTTTTGTGATCAAGAAATATTATGAAAGGAATCACTGAAAACTTAAATCCCACATTTCAAGATCAGAATCTTCTGAAATAATATATAATTTTTAAAGTTCACAGCATGTTTTAGTTTCACTGTTGATGCTGTTTGGTTGGTTGGTTGAGTGAAGTCAAGCTGTTGGAACTGGTGCTGAAATTAAAGTGCCAGTACTACTTATTCTATTGACATGCTATGTCTGCCTGCAGAGGGGAAGTGGCCCTGAGAAGATCGACTAAACTGGAAAGTATTCTCCCTTCTCAGCTCCAGGATTTTTTTTTTTTTTTTTTTTTTATGGTGGTGTCAGTGTCAGGATTTTTTAAAACTTATTTTATTGTGGTATTAGCTCCAGGATTAAGTTATTCCTACAAGCCCAAGAAACTTTGTACCTATTATAAGAGTCTCTTAACTGCTCTCTCCACTCAAAAACATAATATGGCACACGTTAGATACGGGATTTCCCTCTCACTTAAAAAACATAGCCACTAAACCAAAAAAATGGAATTGTCAATGATATTTATGAGAACGTTGATGTCACTGGCAAGGGGATCCCCAAATCTGCAAAACTGCCTCCATACCCACTAACAGGCCAATAAGAATAGCAATCACAATGCATTCATTAACTCTTAGTGATTTTGTTTAAAAACCTATAAACCTCCAGCTTTTTTATGGTAGACGAGTTCATTGTGGCTGTGGATGTAGTAATTATCATCCCCTTGTATCCCCAAGTAACAGCTGTGACCTTGCTCTAAAAGCCACCTTAGTTTAAAAGAGGAAGACCTTGAAGAGAAAAGTGACTGACCAGAAACTCTTCAATACTCTTATTCTTGAGCACATGATAAATGATCATGTCTAAGAGTGTTTAAATAATACATGATGATTTGCCATCCTACTTAAGTTTTTCATTATAAGATAAACTTAAATCATTTTTAATGAAAGAGTATTTCTTTCAAAGTAGCATGTCACTTTTCATGCCCTTCCCTTGAATCTCTAACTAAATCCAACTAGAAGCCCATAGTTTTCACACAAGCTCCTTAAAGCTCTGAAACCGAGATATTTACACATTTTTAAAACCCATTTCCCGAGTTGCTCTTCACGTCCTCCTAATGAATGTCATTTGTCTCTGGAAGGAGAGGGATCCAGGAGCCTGTAAAGAGCATCTGTAGGTTTGGCCCTTTTCATTTTAGTCCTTTGATGAACGGGTGTGCACTGCTCCTTCCAACCGACAGGTTCTTGTTTGTTCTGCAAGTGTTTCAGTTGGGGTACTCCGCATTGGGTTATAAAGGCGTTTGAAATGTTTTCCTTTCCAGCTCGGCTCCTGGGACTCTCGCCCCGCACCGCTTCATGCTACTGTCCATCTTAACGCCATTGGGAAAGAGAGGGGCAGGGAGCATCGGTTTATTGGGTAATAAGAGAGATTTACAGGCTCGGAGAGTTTGGGAATTTACAGGTGAGCAAGATTTATGGGTATAAAACACTGTTGTAGGTTTGGAAAGGAGGGAACTGTGACAGATTCCTACCTGTGACCACTTAGCCAGTTCTGCACCTGTGCCCTCCACTTCCCACCTGAGTCCAGGAAATTCTGCCCCTCGTGAGTCTTAACCCTGAAAAGGGTAGGTGAGTGAAGAAGTGGAATGGGGGAGCCTGAAGCACACCCCTAAATCCCGCACGTCCCAACACCTCGGACTTTCCTCCGGCTGCGGGGATGGAAGGTAGAGAGAGGCAGCCGCGTCCGGCCGTCCCTCGGGGGCCGAGACCAGAACTGCGCGTCTCCAAGGCTGGCTCCCCCTGAGGGGAGGCGGCGCCTCGGGGAGCAGCAGCCGGAGCGCCCTGAGAGCCTTCACGGAGGGGTGGGCAGTACCGATGCGGAACGCGCTGCCGCTCCGGCTCCAGTTCCTGAGGCGTCCAGCTTCCCATCACTTTTCCCAGTACTTTGCTCATCAGCCGTCAAGCTCTCTGGAGAAGAGACCCAGAGGCGGGAGAAAGGCCCACGGGCATCCCCGGGAGAGCTCTCTTCTTGGGAGAGGAGCCGACCCTGCCCCGCCCTACCCACCTTTCCCAGCCTCCCGGAGGCAGCCCGGGCGCCCTCGCCGCGGCTCCCAGCAGAGCTCCGGGTTCTGCTGCATCTGCCGGCGCCGAGCGGCGGGGGGCGACTGCAATAAAGGCACGGATAAAAAGCCTTGGTAACCGAAACCCAGATGCACCTCTTACCATTAGACCGCCGGACAATATTCTCCAGAAACGTGTTTTGCGGGGCCACCAGTCCCCTCCTGCCCCCGGCCATGGTCATCCTCCCGACAGCTTGGGGTCTGGGGGCGTCCCGGCGCGGCTTCTCACGGCAGCAGCAAGCGGGACGCGGGGCCCGCGCGCGATCCCAACTCGAAGTGCCCCATGCGCCCCACGGGGACGCGGGCGGGCAGGGGCGGCGGCTCCCTTCGGCTGCC